TCTTCCCCCCCAGGCTGGTTGGGCACTGAACAGGCTCCCCAGGGCAGTGGGCACAGCCCCAAGGCTGCCAGAGCTGCAGGAGGCTTTGGCTGATCCTCTGGGGCACAGGGGGTGACTCTTGGGGCTGGGCCTGTGCAGGGCTGAGGGTTGGACTGGATGGTCCTTGGGGGTCCCTCCCAGCTCAGCACACTCTGAGTTTCTGTGAAATATGAAAAGTGCTGGGACAAACCTTTTTCCACCTCAGTGGTTGATTTAGGTCTGTTTTTCTCTAAAATCCCTGCTGTGTTACCGTGCTGTGAATTTTGCTCCTCAGGTACAGCTGAGGCCCTGCCTGCAGTGGGTTCATGGGGTGTGTTTGCTCAGGGCTCGTTGAGCTGTGTGTGGTGAGAGCCAGAGTCCTACACATGCAAAGCATCACCTCCATCACCTGGGCTGTGTGTGCATCCCTGGGCTGTGTGTGCATTCCTTGGGCTATTTGTGCATCCAGAATCTGTGTGCATCCAGAATCTGTGTGTGCATCCAGAATCTGTGTGTGCATCCATAGTCTGTGAGTGCATCCACAGAGGAAAGGCAAGGCTTTCCCTGAGGATAAACACAGCTCCAAGTCCAGGGAGGGTCAAGGGGAGCCTTTTTCAGCAGAGCTTTACCAAGCCTGAGGGCAGGCCTGTGGTGCTGCCTGGAACCTGGTTCCCCACTGACTCACCCTGCAATCATGAGCTGGAGCAGGAGTCATAAACTCCAGATGAACCGGAGTTGTCCCTTTTCCTTCTTTTTTTTTTTTTTTTTTTTTTTTCACTCCTGTGGTTTGAAACTCTGTAGAAACATTTAGGAAGGTTTCTCAACACATGGGTTTAACCAAAGTCTCTGCAGGGGAACACAGGGAAAGGCAGTTCCTGCCTGGGCTGCGTGCGAGGCACGTTACCTTGGATGGGATCACCAGCCCTCCAAGAACTGCCTTCCCACTCTGGCTTTGGCAGGTCTGGAGTGTTCAGCCCAGATGAATTTTGAAAGAATCCTTGTGCAGGAGTGGTTTTAAAATATTAAAGGATTGCTTTCTTGCACTTGGGAGGGTGTGAGAAGGGTCAGCAGCAGGGAGGAGGTGTGGTGGTGATGCTCAGAATCCCTCCTCGCAGCCACAGGGGTTGAACAGTTCTTGAGGGTCATCTTGGACATTGCTAAAGAAAGTGGTTTTCTGGAGTTTTGTTTGCAAGAAAACAGGATTAATTTTATTCCAAATATGTATTTATTATAAATTTAATTTATTATATTTATTTATATATTAATTCTATTATAATATTTATATATTATAATTATACATAGCAGATCTGTTATATATAAATAAAATATACTTATTATTTGTTAAATATATAAATATATATTTGTTATATGACAACCCCTGAGGAACACAAGAGTGTTTTGGCATGCCCTGTCTGCCTACAGGAGCTTGGATTCAAATCCCAATTGGGCTTACTGGTGGAAATGGAGCAGCCATGAGCTTGTCCAGGAGCATCTGTGTGAGTGCTGGGTCTGCCTGGATGGGGAAAAACTGAGTTTTGACTTCCAGGGAGGGCTGGAACTGCCATGTGTGGTGTGGTTTGTGAGTGTGAGCAGGATGGAGGGAGCTCTGGTGGTGCCTTTCTGCTGCTGCTGCTCCTCAGCCTGCACAGGGCTCGCTGCTTTATTTCCCCTTCTAGCTGTGATGGGGATATTTCTGGGAATATTTAGCTCGAAAATATGCAGATTTTGCAACAGTTTCCCTGTTCCGACTCAAAGGCTTTTCTGGAAAGCCTCTTTGAAGTTATGAAATTCACTATTTAACCCTTTGCTCAAGCCTCGCTGGCTGATTGAAGGGTTGGGTTTGTTCATCTGATTTCCTCATGGGTCACCCTTTGCTGGAAGGGTGGGGAGGAAAATGGCTGAAACCACGTGGGGGGCAAGTAAAAGTGAATAAGCACAGCATTCCATCACTCAGTCCCAGACTTTTTAATGAGCAGGGAAAGTCTCCTGGATGTCTTCCCAGCTGTTCTTAGTTAGATGGATCCCTGTTTATCTCCGTGGGTCTCTCCCTTCCCGCGGTGTCCGTGGGCCCCACAGACACTCATGGATGACTCACATCACATCTGGGGAAGGAGGAAGTGTCCCCTTTTTAGCAGCAGGGACTCACACAGACCGTAAATGAGGTGACTTGCCCAGTTTCACACAGGAAATGTGTAACCAAAGTGGGAATTGAACCCAGGTCACTTGAATTGTCGTCCCTCCCCCCCCAGCAAGGCCACGGCAGCTCAGCAGATGTTGCACGTGTTGGAGTCAAACACGTGAATCACAGAGTGGTTTGGGTTGGAAGCACCTTAAAGCTCATCTCATTCCACCCCCTGCCACGGGCAGGGACACCTTCCACCAGCCCAGGGTGCTCCAACCTGGCCTTGGACACTTCCAGGGATCCAGGGGCAGCCACAGCTTCTCTGGGCAACCTGTGCCAGGGCCTGCCCACCCTCAGAGGGAGTTATTTCTCCCCAGTCTCCCATCTGTCCCTGCCCTCTGGCAGTGGGAAGCCATTCCCTGTGTCCTGTCCCTCCATCCCTTGTCCCCAGTCCCTCTCCAGCTCTCCTGGAGCCCCTTTAGGCCCTGCAAGGGGCTCTCAGGTGTCCCTGGATCCTTCTCTTCTCCAGGTGAACCCCCCCAGCTCTCCCAGCCCATCTTCACAGGAGAGGTGTTAGGAGGTGTTTGTTGGTGGTGTTAGGAGGTGTTTGTTGGTGGTGTTGGGAGGTGTTAGTTTTCAGTCTTTTTAAGAGGTTTGTGGAAGGTAAATGTGGAGCAACTGAGTGATTTACTTCAAACTGAAGGTGCTCTAAATGCAAAACTCAAGACCAAGTAGGAGCTTTGGAGGAAGGGCTGCAGCACCTGGGTGCTGATCTGGACACCCAGTCCCTGAGCAGACCTGAAACCTGTGCCAGGGTGTGGAGCTTTCACTTTGTCTGTGCTGCACCTGCCTGTGCTGACACCAGCCAGGCTCTGCTCCCCTTGCAGCCTGGGCCAGGAGGAGGGACACTGCTCCAGGAGAAAAACAGGGGTCAGGGGGGGGAATACCTGGTTCAGGAGTAACCTAGTCCAGGGGGAGAAAAACCTGCCCCAGGAGGAGGGTTACCTGCTCCAGGAGAAAAACAGTGTCCAGGAGAAGAGACACCTGGTCCAGGAGGAGAAAAATCTGGTCCAGGAGAAAAACCTGATCCAGGAGGAGAGATACCTGGTCCAGGGGAAGGAATAGCTGGTCCAGGAGGGGGAACATCCCCCAGAGATGTGTTTTCTGGGAGCACACACGTCACCATCAGGGTAAACACGCCGAGGGAGGTCCCCGAGGGCTCTCCAGCTGTTGAGGCTGAGTTTGTGTTGCTGTTTTGGTTACCAGGCAATCCTCCCCATCAGGGCACCTGCTCTAAGTCCTGGGTGCTCACTGCTGAGATGGCCTTTTAATGCACACACCATATTCCAGCGTGCTCTTTCTTTTCCAGACTGAACTAAACCGTGGGCAAATAAAAGAGAGAGACCCTCAAAATTCCAGACTCCCAAGTCCACTGTGAGTAATCTCTGTTTTTTTCCCTCATGCCTTACCCTGGCTGTGTTCACTGCCCTTCACAGTGGATTCCACCTGGGAACAGGACTTGCTTTTCTGTTTGTCCACTTTACTTTGCTGTTTCTCCAAGAGATTTGAGAAACTTTTGCCTTGTGGGTGCTGCAGAAGCATTTTCACGTCACTGAGTCGAGTTACAAGAGGTAATTAGAGGAGATCTGCTGCTGCTTCTGCCGCCTGCTCTTTGCATTTTAAATCCCTCTTAGCCATCAGTCACTTTATTTATGGGCATTGCCCTTTTGTTCAAAGCTAATTTGGGATCTGGTTGCAAGGACCATGACCCCCAGGTAGCAGCAAACCCTACACCCTGTGCTTGGCCCAGCACCTCATCTGCTCTTAGGCATGGGCTTGCAGGTTTTTTTGTAAGGAGACCATGAGCTACTGACAAAAGGGATGTGTTTTCCCACAGATGTGTGCCTCCAGATTGATTTAAATCAAAAAGGGGGAAATGCTGAATGTGGTTTTTCCATAGGCAGGGTATTTCAGTGCCTGCCAGTAGAGGAGGAGCTGTACCTGTCCCTCAGCAAGAATCTGTGCTGTGCTGAGTTCACTGCACAAGTGAGGTTTTAAAGTATATTTAACATAGATTTAATTTTATATATATATATATATGTCATATTTAACATGTGCCAAATATGTTGGCCATCGGTTAAATTTGTCTAAAGTTTGACTTAAAAGTTACCACGGGCAATAAACAGGGTGGATTTTCTAGTAACACACCACGTAAGCCTTAGCACCAGGTTAAAATTTGGTGTGTAGAGGAAAATGCTGTTATGGTTGGAATGGGCAGAAATGGCAGAGCCCAAAGAGCTTCCCAGTAATCCCACCGGATCTTGATCTGGCTGGGACAGGACCAGGCAGCAGAAAATCCCTCCATTTGCTTGAGTGTCACATACAAGAGGTTTTTGCCACCAGCAAGATTTAAGGATCCCCAGAAACGAGGTGTTTCAGGGTCCTGGAAACAAAAGGCAAGTGAGAGAAAGCCAAGCACTGCAGTTTTCCCACATGTCACTTGAAAGGAATGAATTCTGGAGGCCAAGCAGAGTATAGAGAAAGCCCTGATGTCTTTTCAGTGCCGTTCCCACCTGGAGCTCAGGTGTCAGGCACAGCCTCTTCCCATTTATCGGGGTCTCAATCCCAAATCTGATGGGAAAGAGCTTGTTTGGAGGCATGGCTGCATGAATGTGGTGCTAGTCCCAGGCAGAGGGGGCAGCCTAAGGTTTGGCAGTGGTTAGGAGAACTCCTTTAGGAGGGCTTGGGTGAGGATTAGGGCTGGGAAGGACTGTGTGTCTGGGCCTGTTTGCAGGAATCCATCTCAGCCGTAATAAGGGAATTCAGAACACCAGCAGCTGTGACTTTCTAATTGAGCATTTTTCTGAGCATTCCTCCAAGCATTTTATCTCAGGCTTTGGAGTAAAATTCTGGTCCCATTAAAATGATGTCACTGATTCCTTCCATCAGTGTGGTAGCCTTTGTCTTCTCACCCTGGTGGAACAGGCGTTCCTGGTCCTGTTCGCTGCATTTCAAGTGAAACCCTAAGAAATGATGTTTGAATGGAAATAAGAGCTGGAATCCCCCAGTTTTAGTGCTTGTGCTTTGGATTTGGCCACAGACATGCAGTGGGAGCAGCTGGAAACCATGTGCCATGTAATCCATGGGACTTGTTCCTTAAAGCTTTGCTGTCGTCGTGCCAGTGCCGTGCACGGGCTGGAGCTCTGCT